CGCGGGCGTTGCAGCTGCCACCGAGAACAGCGGCAGCGGCCATAACTTTTTAAAGAGCCCCTAAGGAAAGCTGGGGGAGCCAGAATGACCTCTCGCGCGAGAGGTGGAATTTGCTCCTACGAGTTCAAGGCCACCACCCCGGGGCTCAGGGATGAGGGGGAATGTTTCGCGCCCCCCCCCACGGTTGCCCAACTGATGGCTCGTGGGAGCAGGGGGCGGGGCTTATATGCCTGCCCCCTGGGCTCCTGACTGGCGGAGCAGTGCTCTGGTGCGCTCCGGCAGGAACCGAGGCCTGGTGTGTATGTGTATAATTTGTTAAAGATTTAGGGAAAGCAAGATGGGCCAGTTCACATATTTCACTCTTTTTTATTTACATTATTCTGCCCAGTCAAGAGACCTTGAGCCAAAATTATCTAATAAATCACAGCTTCAGATTGGCAGGATTCTGGTGGCTCTGTTACTGCTGTCAGCTATTCATGTTCTCCCTTGACTTCTGCAGTTTTTATTCAAGTGTTTATTTAATGTTTACTTGCATCCAGATTTGGTTTGATTCCAGTGGCTGAAATTTTTTTCACCATAGCGAAGTAGAACAAAATTTTCTTGAGTATGTTTTCTTTAAAAAAAAAAAAAGTCAGATCCAGTGGTTTAACTTCAAGCCTTTAAGATGAATGTTTACGCTATTTCTATCCTCAAGTGTCGTCTTTAATTTACAATAACATTTTCTGCATCTAAGCTTTATTTTTTAAGTTGTACTTAATAACTAAAAATCCTTTGTAGAATCTATTTTTATTGCCTTAGAGCTACAAAATTGTAATACAGGGACACTAGAAACAGCCTTCAGATTTGCAAAATCATGGTATAAAAGTATTCAGATACCAGTAGTAATAATGAGGAGCCCACTTTCTAAATACTCAAGAGAGGCTATTCTGTCTTTCAACCACAGCTTGTTCTAGACTCTCTGTGGCTATAAAGCCCTCATCCTTATGCTTTGTCATATCTAGCACTAAAGTGGGAAACATGATAGTCCCCTAAGGCCAAGACTGGATGTTTATCAGCACAGATCCATGCAATGGTCACTTCCAGACTGGGTTATTGTAACTCTCTCTACATGGGGCTACTCTTGACCCTGCTCCGGAAGTTGCAGCTAGTGCAGAATGCAGCAGCGTGGGTGCTGACGGTGACGCCTGTGCGATCGCACATCCGGCTGGTGCTGTGCGACCTGCACTGGCTGCCTATTGAATTCCAGATCCGTTTCAAGATGTTGGTACTTACCTTTAAAGCCCTATATGGCCAGGGGCCAGCATACCTTCAAGACTCCCTCTCCCCATATGAGCCCCATAGAGCACTGAGGTCCACCAATCAGCATCCCTGGCCCCAGGGATGTCCGACTTGCCTCGACCAGGTGGAATGAGCTCCCGAGTGAGATCAGGGCCCTGTGGGATTTATTACAATTCCGCAGGACCTGCAAGCCGCCCTGAGCCAGCCTTGCTGGAAGGGCGGGGTAAAAATCTAATAAATAGATAAATAAGACGGAGCTCTTCCATCGGGCTTTCGGTTGAGGCAGCGGGCGTGTCCCCCTCTTGGGTCAGCCCCTAATTTATAGCCTGAGATCCCAAATTGTACAGATCTCTGGGAAACTTATTTCCAGTACTATCAACCACTGAGGCATCTGGCCTTTGTATGTTTTACATGTTTTAACATGGTTTTAATTGTATTGTATTTATTTTGTTGTATTATATTTACATTGTTGGAACCCACCCTGAGCCTATTAGGGGAGGGTGGGATACAAATCTAAATTATTATTATTATTATCATCATCATTATCATCATCATCATCATTATTATTAATAGTGATGATGATGATGATGATGATGATGATGATATACTTTTTAACAAAATGTCAAATATTTATCCTGGGCTTATTTAAATTAGGAGGATTTTGTACAATCATTGTATGTATTCCTTTGGTTATTTACCAAGATTTAGAAGCCTAGCATCTGTAGGGCTGTAGTTTTAAACATGCACCCACTGTATGTGGTTCATTTTCCCCACCCCCGCTATGTTTTTATTTTTGTTGCTGCTGGTGAAAATATAGGATTGCAGAATATTATGTTGTACCTCCATTTAAAAAAAATAGTGCCACCTAGTAACAGAATATGGAATTAAGAGACAAAATTGCAAACGGTGACACCTAGTGATAGTTGACAGTATTAGCTCTCTTAAATCTAAAAAGAGATTGCGCATCAGCAAACTCCCAAAACAGTCACTGCTAAAATTATGAGAAGAATCCATTCCATTAACTGTGGAGCCTCCCTTTGGTACATGTCCTACAAAGAGGAAGCCTCCAACATTAATAGAAAAGAACTTTTGGCTCTAACCCTATGTACAGGGTGGAGAGCCCCCTAAGATGGCAAAAATATGCATTTAGGTCTCCATATAATTATTTCCTGTATGATTTATAAAAACCTTCCATACAGACCTAGAGAATAGTGATTTCTTTTACAGGAAGAACAAACAGAGAATTGAATGAGAAACTAAAAAATCTACACCAAAATCTTTCAGCAGCTGACACAAGTTTATATTAATTCAAAGGTAATTACATTTAAAGTTGCTAGCAAAGTTTTATGCCAGTTAACATCTGATCTCCAAGGTGTGCTGTGTGAGGATTGAGTAATGACATAGCAACAGTTACTCTTAATAAAAGTTGAGCAGTCTCAGCATTTATGTTTCTGTTGTTACAATCGCTTTTTGCAGACTCTCTTACTTCAGTGACAGCTGTGAACCTGCTCACAAATCAGGAGGTTCCTGTAGTCATATCAGCAAAATCAGAATTTGAAGGCTATCTTGACACCAGAATTGGTGAGTACTACAGTAAAAAAGACCAATGCTATGTTTATTTACAAAACGTATTAAAACAGTGGCATATTTAAAACTGCTGAGGTGGCGGTTTGGCTTCTGTAAGGATGCATGGAAGGAGAAAGCCATGGAAGGATAGCCAGACAGGGCTATCTATGTTTATAGTTTGTCGTGTTTATAGTTTGTCGTGTATATATATAAAAAATCAGGCAGGTATGTGTGAATTTTGTTTTAGTCAGCATTACTGTTTTTATTTCTTTAATTTTTCCTTCAGAGAGTTCAAGGCAACATACCTGACCCTTCCCCTGACCAACAACCCCGTGAGGCACATTAGACCTAGAGAGAGAGAGAGAGACTGAGAGTGTGTGTGTGTGTG